TAAAAAAGTAATATAATCTTGAATTTCATTTACAGAATTTTGATAACTTCTTTTACAGCGTATATAAGCTTTTGTTATAATTTCCATTTCTGTAAAAAATAAAAAAATGAATTATAAAGAATATTTAAAAAAAATATGGTATGATCCTAAAAGTGCTGTAGCTTTTTCAGGATTATATGATTTAAATAAGTATATTTTAAAAGATAATAAATTTAAAATAGGTAAAAAAAAAATTCAAGCATGGCTTCAAGATCAAGATTCTTATAGTGTAAGAAGAAAAGTTATACGTAAAGTTAAAACAAATAAAATAATTGTAAAAGGTATAAATTATATGTGGGATGGAGATTTAATGGATGTATCTAATATTAAAGAAGAAAATGATGACATTACTTTTTTATTAATAATAATAGATGTTTTTTCAAGATATGTATTTGTAAAACCTTTAAAAAATAAAACAGCTTACAGTGTTACAAAAGCTTTTAAAGAAATTTTAAACGATTATGGTTTTTTCCAAGAATATTGAGAACGATAGAGGTTCGGAATTTTTAAATTCATCTTTTCAAAAATTATGTAAAGACAGAAATATTATTTCAATAGGTACAACCAGTAATTATAAAGCTGCTTTTGCAGAATCTTTTATCAGTAAATTAAAAAATATATTATTTCGTTATTTTCACTCAAAATTAAATTATAAATATTTACATGTATTAGATGATATAGTTAAAGCTTATAATAGCAGAATACATCCTTCTTTATATGGTTTTGCACCTAAAGATTTAACTGAAGAAAATGAATTTGAATTTTTTTATTAGAAAATATAATAGAGAAAGAAATACTAGAATAAAAATTAAAATAAAAAAAGAAAAGAAATTAAAAAGAGATTTAAAGAATTTAAATAAAAAAAATAAAAAGCCTTCTAAAAAACAAATATTTAAATTTAAAATTGGAGATAAAGTACGTATTTCATTTTAAAAAAAAACTTTTTTAAGAGGTTATCAACAAAAATGGACTGAGGAAATTTTTGTAATTAGTCATAGATATTAAAGAAATAATATCCCCGTATATAAAGTTAAAGATTAGGATGGAGAACAAATTGAAGGAGGTTTACGAAATAACGAATTACAAAAAATAAATAAAACTGATGATGATCTTTTTAGAATAGAAAAAAATTTAAAAAAAAGAACTTTACGTAAACAAAAACAAGTTCTTGTACGTTGGTTAGGTTGGCCTAAAAAATTTGATTCTTGGATAGCTGAAGAATATGTAAAGGATATGCAAGATAAAAATGTATAAATAGAAATATAAATTTTATTTTTTTTAATTAAAAAAATAAAAATGTTATTTAAAGTTGATAATTTTGTAATTAGCATAATAGGTAAACATATTGCTACATATAACTTTACAAAACCTATAATAAGTAATAGTTATCATAGATTAGCCTTAAAAGAATTTTATATAAATGATAGAAATTATCAAAATCAAATTTGGTTAATAACTATAAATTGTGATAAAATACCATTTAATCCTATAGCTTATTTTCTTTATAAAACAGGTTCAATTATAAGAAATAAAGACATAGAATATATTAATAATTATCATTCTGTTGGAAATGGAAATAGTAACGATAAATTAAATTTTACATTACAAGTTTTTAATATTAATAGTGATGTTGAAATAACAACACGTTTAGATGTACATATGATATTAGATTTAGATTATTAACTCTATTAAAATGTATAAATAAAAAAAATTTATTATAAATTATAATAAAAGTTAAAATAAAAAAACTTATGGGATTACTACCTGTTTTTTTAGGGTTAGCAGGTTTAATATCTAGATTAATACCTTGGGGAGATTTAATTAAAAAAAACCCACTTTTAGACGTAAGACTACTAAATTGGCCAAATTATTTTTCAGAAGAACAAATTAAAAGAATAAAACAACAAAAAGATTGGCAAAAAGTTAAAATAAAATATCACGGCAAATTTTACGGAATTAAATAAATATTATGGGATTAGCTAGAATTGCTTTAAGTGTTGGAAGTGTATTAGCAAGCCTTATACCTTGGGGAAAATTAATTAAAAAAATTAAAACTCCTAAAAAAAAATAAATATTTTAGAAAATGGTTGTAGCTCAAATTGCTTTAACTGTAGCAGGAACTTTAGCAAAACTTATACCTTGGGCAAAATTAATTAAAAATCAAAAAGAAAGAAAAAAAAATATAGATATAGTCAATACGTTTATAAATCTTAAAAAATAGCCTGAAGAATAGGTATAAATAAATGCTTATTAAAAAAAAATTATATTTATTATGTTTATTACAATAAATAATTTACAAAAACAGTATAAGGATTATAATACTGTAGCAGATTTCAGATATCATTTTAAAGAACCTTTAGACATTGACGAAAGTTGGGAAGTTGCTTTACTTTCAATACATGTTTCTAAATCAACAAGAGTTACAGATTTAATAATAAGTTGTGACTTTATTGATAGTCTTTCTCTTTTAAACGAAAAAAAATATCATTGTTTATATACAGGACCTTTTAACGGTATTTTATTAAGTATATTTCCTGTAATATATTATCCTGTAAGTTATAAAGGTTTACAAACATTACATTTTTGGACTGAAGGAGTTGAAAAAGAAAAAGATTCTCAAATTCATTTAGTTTTACATTTACGTAAAAGATTACAATGAGTGCCTTTACTAAAATAGGAAAAGTAATAACAAGTACAAATTGGAATGATTTATTAGATAAAGGTAAAAAAATAGGAAATTTTATTAAAAAAGGCATAGAATATAAAAATCAAGCTACAGAAATAATCGATAAAGTTAAAGAAGTAAAAAAAAAAGGCACCCCTGTATTAGATACAATGTGTGAATCACGTATTGAAAAAGCTTTAAAGGAACAACGTTTAAAATTATCAGAAAGAACTATTGAAAAACGTCCTTTAAAACAAAAAGTATTAAATAAAAGAGCTAAATTATTTGACGTTACTTATGAAAAAACTAAAAACAGAAGATTAAAAAAAGAAAAACTACTGGAAAGAAGAATTGCTGAAGTAAAAAATAGGAAAAGAAGGAGAGATGAAGATGACAAAGCTCGTCAAGCTCGTTTAGAAAAAAAATATAATAAACAAGAAAACAGAAAAATTAAAAATTAAAAAAGAAAATTATTTTAAGTCTTTTTTTAGCCTTTAAAGAATCTATATAAATAAAAAATATGTTATTATTTTTAATACAAAAAATATATCATGGCTAAAGTTCGTCGTTCTAAAAATAAAAAAGCTAAAAAAATAGCTAAAAAAGTAAAACGTATTTTTACAAAAAAAACAAAAAAAACTTTTTGCAATTAGAATGAAAAAATTTAGAAAATTAGCTGCAAAAAGAAGAAAAAAACAAATAAGAAAAAATAAGAAATCATCAGGTAGACCTTAAAAAAATAACCTCCATAGAATCTATATAAATAACTTTATAATAATAAAAAATAATTGATAAAAAATAATTAATATAAAAAATATAATGGCGTCTTTATTAAATGAAGATTTTTTTTGAAACATCTCTTCCTGAGGAACTACAATTATTTGATTGTAAAGATAATAATGTAGCAATTGAAAATGAATTTTATGAATCAATAGCTACAAAAACAGAAAAACCTAAATTAGAAGATACTTTAATTTTTGATATTTTAGGTAATGAAACTTATATAGATTTATATAATTCTTATATGACAATAGATGTAAAAATACTTAAAGTAATCCAAACTGGAACTGAAAAAATTACCATAGCGGATACAGTTTGGATGGCAGATAATCCTTTAGAAACTTTAATTTCTGAAGTAGTTGTTACTTTAAATGGACAAATAGTAGAAAATTATGTTACAGACGCTCAATATACTTTACAAACTAATAAACTAACATTACCTTTTTCTAATAGTTATTTAAATAAAAAAATAAATAGCGATAATTTATCAAAAGATAACAGATATCATACCTCCAAGGATATTATAGACAATAGTATTGCTGAAAAATTTACTACTTTAGCAGATAAATTGGATTCAAAAACATTCTGATAATAATTTTTACATTGATGATGATTTTTTAAATAATATTGACGGTAATGTTAAAGAACACATTTTAGATTATTTACGCTATGCTACCAGTCCTTTTATTTTAAAAAATAAACCTAAGAGTTTAAAATTATTTTATAAAAAACTAAAAGAAAAAAATGTACCTAATTTATATTTACCCAGTAAAAAACCTTTTCCTTTTTTAAGTAATTCATCAAAACCAAAAATAAAAAAATGGATAAAAATAAGCGATAAAAATAAGCGGACGTAAATGAAAGCCCCAGGCTTTCTATCACGTCCGCGTTATACGTATATATATATATACTATATAAAAATTAAAAAAAATATAATAATCATAATGTCAGAAATGGAGATAGTAAGTACGGCCGGAGAAAAAAAGGAAATGGAGAAGAAGAAACTTCTTCTGTTAAACGTTTGCGTTTTAGTTGTGAAAAATGTCCAAAAGATTATACAAGAAAATTTCGTTTAAAAAAACATGTTTTAGCAAAACATACATGGGGGCCAAAGTCAGGTACTATTACTTACATTTAATGTAAAAAATTATTATAGTTATGTAAATATTTATTATTTATTATTTTATTGTGTTTGTAAAGTTATTATAGTTATGTAAATATTAATTATTTATTATTTTATTGTGTTTGTAAAGTTATTATAGTTATGTAAATATTAATTATTTATTATTTTATTGTATTTGTAAAATTTAATGTAAAGTTATTATAGTTATGTAAATATTAATTATTTATTATTTTATTGTGTTTTATAATAAGAAACATTATTATTGTTATGTAAATATAAATTATTTTATTATTTGTTTGTAAAATATGAAAATATTTAAAAAAAAGAAAAAAAGAAATAATGAAAAAAGAGAAAAAGAAATAATGAAAAAAGAAATAATGAAAAAAAAAAAAAGACTCTGTGGCGCAATTGGCTAGCGCGTCTGATTCCAAATCAGAAGGTTACGTGTTCGAATCACGTCAGAGTCCTATTTTTTAAAAAAAAAAAGGAAAATTTTTAATGCAACTAATGTTATTATTAACATTACGGGTCACAAGTCCCTAATGCAGAGTGAAAATTTTCTATATGCACACATTCTTCTTGGCAGCACGTAATAAAACGTCGGAGCCCAAAAACATATATTTATAGTGATGACCTCTGTATCATTAGCCTCTGTAAAAAATAATAATAATAATAATAATAATAATAATAATAATAATATAAAAAATTTTTAATGCAACTAATGTTATTATTAACATTACGGGTCACAAGTCCCTAATGCAGAGTGAAATTTTTTTATCTATAAATAAATATATCTATAAATAAATATATCTATAAATAAATAGTTGACCCCCCTTTTTAACCCTCCCCCTTTTTTTTACCCATCCCTTATTTACCTCCCTTATTACCCCCAAGTAATAGTACCTGAGCTTTGGCCCCCAAACGGAACGTGACGTCTTAATAAAATTTCCACGCGCATGCGTGGAAATTTTATGACGTCACTTCCGTTTGGGGGCCAAAGTCAGGTACTATTACTTCTGGCTGTACATGAGTCAAATAAGGGGTATCTTGGAGGATATTCCGTGGAACACACAAATCAAATGCTGCAGTGTTCCGTGCAGCAGAAGAGGACCTTGGTAACCCGGGCGACGTCCTAGACGGTTTGTTCTTTGTATTCTTTGTATTCATCATGCATTAGGCTACCACATTAATGATGCCCTCGGGGAATAATCCAACAGCAGTAAAGTTTCTTCTAGGAAGAAACTTGACATGGACTTGGTTGTAGTAAAAAGTAAAATAAAAAAGATTGGTGAAGTTTACAATCTTTCAGAAACAAACAAAATAGCGTCCGCAAAATATTTATAAAGCGGCTTAGGACTTATCCAGATCATGATGTACCTCAAATCGCATCGTCCCAATTTTTCGATTTTTTTGTTTGTTTGTGTTCATGAAATAAAAAGCGCAATCACTTTTTGACAAGTCACATTACTTATGATATTATCCCTCCTCTTAAAAACTGAGAGAGAAAAAATGAGGGGTTGGCAGGGGGTATTTTTTTCCGAGTTCTCCCCGTTCCCTTCCCATTTCTTCTACCAGATATAGATACAGTTGGGGTTTTTTTTTTGTTAACATTGAAGAATATTGAAACTCCATGTATTTTCAAAATATTCATCATAGAAAATCAGGACTGGAAAAAATGTTGATGTGGTGGTAAACTGCATGGGGATATAAGACAAGAAGATAAGAAGATATTTTCAAAAATAAAAAATACCTGACATTTCTTTGTGTTTGGGATCCAATAGTTGAAATAGACATTAACTGATAATTCTCATTTCTGACAAGATAACACACATACATGACTGACAAACAATCCAACAAATAAAACTGTTATTAAATCTGAAAACATAGGAAGTGAAAAAGGGTTGATAATTGTTTTAAAAGCTCATTAGAGCTTATGTTTCATGTTTGTATTATACCCCCAAGGGTGACTGGGAAATAGAAGTATGGTCACCATTGGTCTTCCTCCGACCGGCAGTAAAACTCTTGCTAAAGTGGGGCGTCCGTTTGGCTGTGCGGGATGTACAAATTTGCAGCCACGTCCGGTCAGAATGGGGACGTTAAATCCGATGTCTCGTGTAAAGAGAGTACCACGCTCTTTGCACGGTAAGAACCCTTGCAACAACTCTTTGAGGGGTCCGTAGGTGACCTGTTGCAAGGCTAAATTTCTGTCCCTATCCAATATACCCTCATTTCCTGTGGCAGTCTAAATTTCTCCGATCTTAATCCCGGACGCCCCTTTTACAGAACCTACCTTTTGTATTTATTGTTAATTTGTTCTCGTCCTGAATATGCATGAAATATTTGCCACTGGACGTTAAGCAACCAACAATCAATCAATCAATCAATCAATGTTTGTATTATGCATCAACAATAAATAAAAATTTCAATTATTTATACAGTCAACACCATCATTCCTGGTGCAACACACAACACAGAATTTACCCAATACTGCAAATAATTGTATTCAGTGTTAGACTATTGTACAAGTTGATCTTTCCATTGTACAAGACTATTTTTTTAACATGTTTAAATTGATAAATATTCTTTGCATTGCATTGTTAAACTAATATATGTACTTCCCACATTTCACAGGCATGTCACAAGTGTAATGTATGATAAGAGAATCAAAGTGATCACTATATTGGCTATTATACTAACTGCCAGTGTTTACACCTTCTGACAAACCAGTCAGCTGAGTCCTGTTATCCTCGAGCATGGAAGTAATAAGGAGTTCTTCTGCCTGGATGGTTTTTGCAGCAGGAATTCCTTCTGTTTCGGCCTCTTCTGCATGTAATATTTTTATTTATCTTCAAAACACATATTTCTCAAATAACAATATTATTAAACATAAATCAATTATATACATGTACCAAGTATTTCACCTCAAAAGGAAAAAGTCTGTATTTGTAACAGGGCCTTTTCAGCTCTGGTGTACATTTTCAAATATTGCATGTTATGTTAATAATTTTTAATTTGAAACTTTATTGACTTTTGTTTCCTATTGCCCATCGATTCACACACATTGTACACCAATTGATGCAATAAACAGTTAAATTTAAATATATATATATATATGTATATGTTGCATTGCAATGAATCAGATATATTCCCATACCATAAAATGTCCATTAAAGAAGTATAGGCATATATGAACACAACATGAAATATTCAAACTCACTTCTGATTAAACTTATTCCTTTCTTTTATTTGTAGTAATTTTTTTCACCTCATCAAAGGTTCTTTTACGAACTGTAAATCTTTTGCATAAGAAATAAAAAGCAAAATGTTAATGAATAAAATGAAAATATGCAGTGTTACTTCAACTTTATTTCTTTGGATATGAAAATAAACTTTTATTAATCATTTTGATTATTAACAGCTGCTATTTATTTGAAGCAGTAGCTATTTAACCGGACTCGGCTAAATACACTACTGTAGCAATGGGGTTATTTGACCAGATCTGATTCAATGACTCCGGACTTTATTATATATAAGGAGTGACGCCATGGAAACTGAATATTCTTGGCATCCATATACAAGACAAGTGACAGTATACAAACTGGTATATAACATATTCCTATTTTCTATATTTCTAATAAATATACATACTTGTTTCAACTATTTAAATATGTATAAATATTTTATGCTTTTAAAATATCTCATTTTCCTTCTTAATTTTGATTTGCGGAAATCCTAGAAAAGATAATTAGGATACTAAAAAAAAAGGTAACCCGACTGTTTTCCGCAATTATCGGTCCCGTACCAAGAGTTGTCTTCCCAGTAATAATAATTTTTCGTTATTGTTTGCAAATAAAGTTATTATATAATTGTTACCTATTCCAGGTCATCCTAGTAGGTGCCTACAATGAAAGGCATTAAAAGGAAGTTTTAACCCAAACCTGCAGTCTCTTAGTTAATTTGACCATACACTTTTTTTTTTATTTTACTATCTCACATGATTTAGAAATTATTAGTTGCACAATCACTACTAGGAAAGTTACTTTCTCGCTATGAACAGATGAAATATCGGAAGCATTCGCATTGCACTGTTCGATATATTAAAATATATAGTGACTAGGAAGCTGTACAACCGGCAATCTTATTTTGAAAACTTTTGAATAATTAGGAAAATATCGAGAACATACGCATTTAAGATATCGAAAATCTCCTACCAAGCGTTTTGCCTGATTGTTTTCATTTTCCAAAAGAGGGAATCTTCTCTAAAATTACCTTGATCAGTAAGGGGAAGTTCATCATCGGTTGTCCGATTTGCCCTTCTTTTATTTTTTTTCTCTCTGCCATACTGGCTGTACTGACAGCAAAAATTACCTTAACAGACGACTTTGGACAACAATCATCAATTTTCCCCTGTATTTTCGCGAAGTTTGGTACACTTTTCTAGTTTTCAAACACAGAAGAGTACCGTATACCGCTTACATCGCTGAGAATATTCTCAATGTTTAGAATATTATTTTATGGCTGAGAAAAAAGTCCTCATTCTTAGCTGAGTAATATAATTCATTCTGAGAATATTTTTTTCTCAGATATTAAGTTTTATGGCGCTGGGGCCCTATCTACTTCAACTGGAAAAAAAACCTGAATATTTACCATGATTTCTGGGTAAGGTTATAAAGAAAATGACAAAGCCAGAGTAAAAAAAAATAAATCCAATGTAACCCAGAAAATGGGATGGTTTGAGAAAAAAGGGGTGGCGTTAAATTCACACATGAATCGTAATCGCAGATTTAAATTTTTTTAATAACGAACACATTTCTCAAAATTATACAGTAACAAAGTTTTTACAATTATTTTACAAAATAGATTACTTTTGCTTCACTCACCGTTCTCTGTTGCATCCATCTTGATCATGTTGACGTTGCATCCATCTTGATCATGTTGACGTTGCATCCATCTTGACCGTGTTGACGTTGCATCCATTTTGACCATGTTGACGTTGCATCTAACTTGACGTTACAGTCAGCGATAGATTCTCTACTCATTTTCTTGCGTGGTTTTGTCGCTTAAAATAGAAATATGTTCCTGATTACAGAAGATTGCCAAATCGGATTTTTTTATAAGAAAAGACGATTATGGACGTGAAATTTAGGTTCTATAATTGCCTATCCGAGAGAAATTGTTGTTTGAAGACTTCAATTGTCAATTACAAGGACACTGGAACTGAAAATTGAATTCACTGCGGATCGGAGAAAAATGGGGAATCTCTTTTTTCATTGGATAGTAATTTTATAATTTTTTGACGTCAGTAATTTCTATTTCTGTTCGAAATGGGTAGTTCACTGGAAAAAAAATATGCCGCCAACAACGTTACATACAATACGTCCCGAATAATATAAAATTACGTAAAAGCTTATATTTTCTCACATTAAGGGAACATTTTGATGTTTATTAGGAGCAAAAAATCCGACAA